TGGATAGATAGATGATCGATAGATGATAGATGATAGAAGATAGATAAATAGATGATTGATAGATGATAGAAGATAGATAAATAGATGATTGATAGATGATAGATGATAGATAATGGATAGATAGATGATCGATAGATGATAGATAAATAGATGATAGATGATAAAAGATAGATAAATAGATGATCTATATATAGATGATAGATGATAGATGATGGATAGATAGATGATCGATAGATGATAGATAAATAGATGATAGATGATAGAAGATAGATAAATAGATGATGGATAGATAGATGATAGATAGGTGATAGATGATAGATGATAGATAGATGATGGATAGGTAGATGATCGATAGATGATAGATAAATAGATGATTGATAGATAGATGATAGAAGATAGATAAATAGATGATTGATAGATGATAGATAGGTGATAGATGATAGATGATGGATAGAATAGATGATCGATAGATGATAGATAGATGATAGATAGATGATATAGATAGATGATGAGATAGATGATGGATAGATGATAGATGATAGAAGATAGATAAATAGATGATCGATAGATAGATGATAGATGATAGATGATGGATAGATGATCGATAGATGATTGATAGATGATAGATGATGGATAGATAGATGATCAATAGATGATAGATAAATAGGTGATTGATAGATTGATGATAGAAGATAGATAAATAGATGATCGATAGATGATAAATAGGTGATAGATGATAGATGATTGATAGTTGATAGGTGATAGATGATAGATGGAAAGATGATAGATGATTGATAGCTGATAGATAGATGATAGCTGATAGACGGTAGATAGATGATAGATAAGCTTAAGTGTCTCATGCGGCTCCGTCAATTCCAGTCCTGCTCGTGCGCAGCAGGCAGCCAGCTTCAAGGGTGGATTCGGACAGCGGCTGACAGTACTTTGCGTGTTTGGGCTTTACCTTCTGAAACGTTGTTTGTCTTCCTAAGCATTTGATTCTTTGTCCAGGGCTGCCAGTCTGTGGTTCGGTTGAGTTTGAGGCCCCTAAGAGGATCGGGGCCATTTCTCATCCCCCTGGGTCCTCCTCTCTCCTCCCTCCTCCCCTCCCTCTGTGAATGCCGGGCCCGCCTTAGGGTTAGCAGCAGCACACGGAAACGTGGAAGGCATGGCTTGTGACCCGGAGATGGCCAAAGCAGGGAGGTCTTGTCCTAGGACCCCTCGCCCCCAAATAGCATACACTTGACGCACAGCTTGCCGTGATGAGGTCCTTCCCCTCTTCTTTAGCAAACCAATCTCCGCTCGTAGGGACAGGAGAAAGCTTGCAGGGTGTTGGGGACAAGTGAACCATCCGCGTGTCCGAAGCTGAGACCCTGGAAGGGTCATACATGCAGCCTGTGTCCCCCTGGAACAGCCCAGCGAGACATTGACTCGTAGAGAATAGATCTCATAGTTCACAGAGTCAAGAAAAGAGACAGGGGTCCTAGGAGTTATTTCTCCACCTTTTCCGCATCGCGTGAGGCTCGGAACCCACCCAGCCTGCGGCCAGATGCCCGCCCTGGGCGCCCCGCTCCTAGCAGCTACCGGGACTGACTGGCTTTGCTCCATGGGTGAGCAAGGAGGAGCCCACGATGGGTCTGGGGCTGACCTCCGGGCACACGTCCGCCGTCCTCCACCCAAACCACATAGAGCAAGTGTCTGATCAGGAGCAAGAAATAGTGCAGCTTGTAGGAAAAGGACTTTTTTTTTTTTTTCAAAAAGCTGGAACCGATCCACAAGCAGGCTCAGGAAGGATGATGGCTGTGACTTTTACGATGTTTCTTCCTTTCTTCCTGTTTCCTGGAGAGGCCAGAGAGGCCAGGAAGGCCTGTCCGTGTGACCGGGCCTGGGGTTGCATCCCCGGCCGGCTCGGTGGGGCCCTCGGCAGAGCCTGGGTGGGGACGCCCCCTGGTGAGTCCTGCAGAGGGACCGCCACCCGTGCTCCCAGACTCCGGGTGGAGAAGGCGTCCGAGAGCAGCCGCGTGGTTGCCCTTGGCTTCCCGGCGTGGCTGGACCGACTTTGGCTCGCCGTGCTCGCCCCTGCCCACGCAGGCTCCAGTGCCCCCCGCCACTCACCCGCAGGCCCTGCCGTGCGGCCCGGCTCCCCCCGCCGCCGCCGTCCTTGGCGTCCAGCCGCTCCGGACACTTCCTGGGACCACCCACAATTCCCCTTCATCGTAGCTCAGAGTTTGTTTTTCTAGTTGGATTAGTCTAACAGCGAATGCCATGGGCCTCCTGGCCGTCCAAAAAAACAAAACGGAACAAAACAAAATAAAACAACACCATTTCTGCATAAAGCGAAGATTAGACTCTAAAATCTGCAAAGAAAGCTGTTTATCTTACAAATGTATTCTTCTTATTGGGCCACACATGTCCAAGGGAGAAAAGATAAAAGGGAAACAGATACAGGCCATCACTTAGACTGACATAGAGTGAGGCACCGCTCATCCTCGGCTTCCATAGAACCTTCCAGAGTGGCACACGGGCCTTCTCCAGGCCCTGGACAAGGACTCACCAAAAGCCACAGTAGAAGCGTGTCCTCCACGGTCTCCCCCTCCTACTCTCCTCGTCGGCTCCGTCTTTCCGCTGCTCATGGTGGGCTCCGTTGGAGGAAGACGTTGGGGAGGCGGCTCACGTGCCGATCGTGCAACGCGGGCCTTTGCATGGAATTAATTAATTAATTAATTTTTAAAGATTTTATTTATTTATTCATGAGACACACAGAGAGAGGCAGAGACACAGGCAGAGGGAGAAGCAGGCCCCATGCAGGGAGCCCGACGTGGGACTCGATCCCTGGACTCCAGGATCACACCCTGGGCCAAAGGCAGATGCTCAACCGCGGAGCCACCTGGGCGTCCCTTTGCATGGAATTTAGTGTCAAGAGCCCGCACCTCCCTACTACCTCTGTCCTGAAGCCAACTGTCCGGGGCATTTGGTTTTTCTTATAAATCAAACCGACAGCTGTGGGCCTCCTAACTTAAATAAGGTATCTTAACTCTGTTGCAGGGAGCACTTGGCAGGGTTTTAATCCGGCTCTTCGTGAGGGTAGGCTGGCCTCAGCATCCCATCACAGGAAAGCTCAGGGGACACATGCAACACGTTTGGGGTGGGAGGGTGGGTAGGAGATGGCATCCCCAGCTGTGTAAGCCTAGGGCGTGGTGGACTTGAGCTTGGCATCTGGCCTCTGTTCTCCGGGGCTGTCCGCGACCTGGTGGCAGCAGCCCCGGTGGAGTCCAGGTGTGGGCCATGGAGGCGCCCCACTGTGACTGCAAGGGGGCATCTGTTTGCTGCGAGTGGCGACACCCTCCTGTGCCTGCCCGCCCTGACTCAGTAGCCACCTTGCCACGCTCCTGAGGACAACCAGAAAGCTGGTTCCGGGGCGGGGTGGGGGGGTGGGGTTGAGTTCTAGATGCCGGCGGACCCGTTTCCTCCTACCTGTGCAACATTATAAGGGCAAAATAAATAAATAAATAAATAAATAAATAAATAAATAAATAAAGCAAGGCTATTAAACCCTTTGAACGGCCCTTCCGAGGGTGGTTGGAGGAGCTGGAGGGAATGGGATCAGAAGTGAGCCTTCGAGGGGCTTTCGCAGGGGGACGCGATCGCCGTGCGTCAGCCCAAACGCAGAGAGGGTGAGTGCAGCCCAGGGTCTGCACGGTGGCTTGGAGCAAACCTCCAAATAGGAATGAAATGCGACTGCCCCCGTCTTGTGCGTGGCCTGGAAGTCTGTCCCTTTTGGCTGTTAGCAGAGAACACCGGGAACGGATATTGTGGACTAGAGGCAATTTGCATTTTCCGTTGCTTGGAAGGTACAAATCTTGTTTATTCCCCTCTCTGCAGAGCCCACAGGTCTGCTTATTATCTCGGAAGGTCCCCTTGTTGTCCTAGTGGATCTAACGGGGCCCCGGGGGTGGGCTGGGGCCTGCACCGGGGACCCCAGGGGGTGCAGAGGAGAGGGCTCTGGGGCCTCCCGTCCTGAGCGGCGCAGATCCCCGGCCCCTGCCCCGCTCCCTGGATGTCGCCTCCCCGGCAGCGTGATGTCGGGCCTCGGGTGTTGCAGTAACATATCCTCCAACCACCAGATATTTTCACGGTTTTATTTACTATTATGTCCCATCATTTCTGTGCAGAAAGCAGCCGTATGTAAATTTTATTCCATTTTCTAATGGTTTGGGTTACATAACAAATAACAGCAGGAAGGAAAATTTGTATTGATACTTTACAGGGGAAGTTCTCAAGTCGCTGCACAAAGATTTAACTGCTCTCCCCGAAGTTTATGGGAGTTTTGCAGCTGAGTTTCTGCACATGACTTTGAATATGTCACTATATGTTTATCACGGGCTAATTGTGGAATCGCATTTCCATACTTTTTCTTCTCCCTTTCATAAGATTACAGCAGCCAGCGATGGATACCAGGCTCTACAAGGAAGAAATGATCAGTTGTGGATAATTGTCTTTCCTGTCCCAAAATAGCTGTATGTCTGCATGTCTTCGGGACTCGGCCGAGACACGTCTTTTTTTTTTTTTTCATCTGTTGCTAGATATAATGCAAATGTGATCTCGAGCCTATAGCGAGCTCTCCAGCTAGTCCGTATTACAAATTAATCAGATTCAACAAACACCAACATTTCTAAACTTTTGGAAAAAAAAAAAAAGAAATATTTAATAGGAGCTAAGCAAAAGAAGAAATCTAACCAGCTGCTGACACAGCTGTTTCTTTTCTGGTTTAATTCAGTTCAATATAAAGGTACCATATGCCGCTTAAAATGATGATGGGAAAGATGAAATAATTTAAGAGAATAACAAGAAAATACATGAATTGTCAGCATTCTGTCAAATTTAAAGAATGAAATAGACAGGTGTGGTATTGACATGTTTAACTTTGTGTGGTGTTAGCAGTTTTGGTGCGAACAGCTTCTGACGTGCTGAAGTGATGTGAGAACGTTTCTCCTCCGCTGCAGACATCGGCGAGGAGGCGGGGAGAGCTGCCGGCGTCCAGCAGCCCGCGCTGCTTCGCGACAGGAGCCTGGGCTCGGCCATGAAGGACTGCCCGTACTGCGGGAAGACCTTCCGGACATCCCACCACCTAAAGGTGCACCTGCGGATACACACAGGTGAGACGCGCGGCCGGGTGCGCAGCGTGGAGCGGGGGCCGTGCTCCCGGCCAGGTCCCCCCCCCAGTCCCCCCCTCCGTGTGGCCACCAGCACCCCCACGCTCGCCACGGGCCTGAGGGACAGCACCGCGGGGACGAGGGGCCCTGCGCCCCGGCTCTCGGCTCCGCGGCCAGCCTCCCGAGTGGCGCCCGTGCACGGCAGGTGCCCCCGCAGCCCAGGTGCATGCTGAGCGGGACCCCTCGCGCCCCCACCTTGACCGGGGGCCTAGCAGGTGCCAAGCCCGAGGGCCCGGCTCTCGGACTCTGAGCGTGGAAGGGAGTGGAGCAGCCTCCTTCCGACCTTCCCCGCTGGGGATCACCTGCCTGCACCCCGGGCTCTCCACCGGGCCTGCTCCGAACAAAAATCGAGGTGCCCTTACCCAAAGACGTGAAGCAGCTGGTGGGCCACTGCGGTCAGTTCTCCTGTTTCCGTCTCATCCCTTGAAATGAGGCTTTTTTAAATTTTTATTTTTTTTTGGTGGGGGGAGGTCTATCTGCTTTGTCCCCCGGTCGTTTTTTTTTTTTTTCTTTTTCTTCTTTAGCTTTTCTGCTAGTTGTTTGCACATTGCCAATACAAAAAAAAAAAATCTATCTGAGATATGGACACCTCCATTTTCTTTGATTTTTCTCCTGACACTTTATCTATTGGAGTATGAGCTGCTTCAGAGGATAGACAAATATGCCATCTATTTTCAAAAATAATTGTGGTCTATTTCCCAAGGAATCAATAAAGCTCGGGGTTGTGCAGGATATTTAGTGCACGCGGGCCTCGTGTGCAGCGTGCGGTCAAAGAGAAGGAGGCCCACACCTGGAACCTCACCTGGTGCCCGCAAATCTCCCTGACGCCGAGAGGAGCCCTGAGAACAGGTGGCGGTGGGCCCTGGGCTGCCGTCTTTATTCACGGCCTGGGCCGCGGTTCAGCATCACCATCGTCCCTCCCTGCCCCGGGGCATGTCTGTCACAGAGTCATGGGGGGCAAAGGGGGATCTTCTGAAACCGTGCACCTGGTTCCATCACTCCTTGAGGCTCTGACCCGTCTTGCTCCGTTTTCATCCTCACCGTCTCCCTCCAACCCCATGGCCGCCTCCTGGCTCCCCCAATGCAGAGGGCCAGCGCCTGCCGCAGGGCCTTTGTACCTACCGTGCCCTCCGCCTGCGATGGCTCTTCCTCCAGGTGGTCACTGGGGCTCGGCCTCCGCGTGAGCTCTTCAGAGAGACCTCGTCTGATCACCCGGTCTACACTATCCCCCTTGTTTATTCTCCTCCTAGCCTTAGCGCTTCCTGGAGTTGTCCTGTTCACTTCCGTTGTTCATTTCCCCGTGCGCTGTTCGTCTCCCCACGTCGGATGTGAGGGCAGCAAACCTGTCCGTGTGCTCAATGGCTGTCATTTCTGGAACCCCGGGGACCCACCGGGGCACCTTACAGGTAGTAGGGACGCCAGGGATGCGTCTGAAAGCTTGCGTGTCACAACAGAGGAGAGGATACGTGGGCGACCTTCTTCCCAGGATCTCTGGACTGTGCCAGGTGGCCCGGAGGAGGGGACAAGCCCCTGTAGGGCCCTTTGGGGAGGCAGCCTGCACACGCAACCCCGTGGGAGGCCGCAGGTCGGCTGCCGGGCTGTGGTTGCAGGTGGAGGACCCTGTTCCCCAGGCACCCCCTCCGCGAGGGGTCTTCGTGCTTCGCCGCCGGACACGTACACGGGGTGGCTGCTTCGGTTTCAGAGTCTGGCACCACGGTCCCCTTCTCAGCGAGGCCTCCCCAGCGACCGGGCTCAGGACGAGGCAGCTCAGAGGGTGGGCCTTCTCGGATCACGCCCATGTCCACTTTCCTCCCCTGGGGTCCCTCGGGTCCCTCGGGGTCCCCCGGGGTTGTGGTGGCCGCCGGGGCAGGAAGGGGCACAGCTGCCAGGAGGCGGGAGGCCGTCCAGCGGGGCGCCTGTGCTTGGGGTGTGTGCAGGAGTGTGGCCCCCGGCCGGGCGGACCTGTGACAGCAGCCTTCCCGCAGACGGTCCCGAGGCCCCGGGGCCAGCTTTCCTCGGGGGGTGGTTCCCCGCCGCCGTGGTCTGCCCTGCCCTGCCCTGCCCTGCCGGGGAGCGCGGCTTCGGAGAGAAAGGGACCGTGCGCCCCCCGACCCCGCGGGGCCCAACTCCCTCCCGTCGGCCGGCCCATCAGCACATGTAAATATTTCGGGTAAATTAGGACCAAACCTGGCGGGAGTCCTGCCGGACGGACGTGGGCGGAAGCAAATGGGTCCCTCTTTTTGGACTCTTAAAGCTTGAGAAACGGCATTTCCCTACCCGCTCCCCCACCCCACCCCCGCCCCCGCTGCCCCCCAAATTTGCTCCTGATTCACAAACTTCTGAGGCTGGCGGCCAGTGGCCTTCGGAGACACTGAGAGAAGCAAGACGAGGCGTTCCAGAAACTTCCCAGAATAAGGGAGAAAATGAAAGAAGCCATGGAAACATCACACCACCGCCCCCCCCGCCCCCCCCGTCGGAAACAGCACTTGGAGTGTTTAGAAGGCAGAATGGTAACCAGATAAAGATCAATTTCCTTTTTATCAAAGAACAAAGAACTTGGAAAACGCTCACAGGCGCGCGTCTGAACGGAACAGAAAGTGTTACTCGTTCCAAACCACCCGCGTAAACATCCTTACGCCGACGTTCCAGCGTAGATTACACGAGGACTCGAAAACCAAAATCAAGTTATTTGTCAATAAGCGGGGGCCGTCCCGTCCCGCCTCGCCCTCCTCCCCGCGCGGCCAGCGGACCGCAGTCCCTGCAGCGCAATCCACGTTTTCCCAAATACCGCCTTTTGAAGTTTTTCCGGTAATGGACCCATATGAGCACATTTGAAAATCCAGCGTGTAATAAATATGTTTTAATTGGTCGGGGTACGAGGCGGCGCATCGGCTGCGCCTTCCCGTCCTAGTCCATCTTGACGAGCCGCCCTGACCCTATAACACCCGCGGACACAAACCGCTTTCCTTTTTTAGCCCCACGACATTAACTCGGTCCGGCCCTCCTCCTCCCTGCACCTGTTCATCAGGAAGGTGCTGAGCAGGTGCCGCAGGCGGGAGGCGCTGGACACCGGGATGTTGTGGGGGGGCCTGCGGGAGCTGCGCCGTCTCTGCTGCACCCCCCCGCCCCCCGCCCCCCAGCAGGCAGATCCGTGCGGGGCCGAGGGAGGCACGTGGAGGACCCCACGACCCTCACAGCCCACGGGCCGCCCCCGTGCGGGGGGGGGGGGCGGGGGCTGAACCGCGTTACCCTGCTGCAGACACCGTCCCGGGCACACCAGGCTGCCATCACACGTGCCGGGATCGGAATCCGCAGCCAGCCCCGCGCAGGCTCAGGGAGGAGAGGGGATGGGTTGGGGTGTCCAGAGGGATGCCGCGGATGGTGTATTCTAAGCCTCTGTAACATGTTATTACGTATAATACGATGATGGATCATACGTGCAGGGAGATGCGTGACGAGGAGCGGGCTCCTGAGACGCCCTGGGACGGGCAGTCGGCAAGGCAGCGCCCGCGGGAGCCCGTGGCACCCGTCGCAGTCCAGGCCCACGTCCCAAGGCAGGTGAAGGTGGATGTCCCCGCTAGGAGACGGGCAGGGGTGCAGAGTCTCCCCCACTTTTTGTGCAGCCCCCCCATGCATGCACGCTGGGGGGGCCGAGGGGCTTTGCCAGTCTACCCATTCACACGCTCACCTCCTCCAGAAACACCTTCCCAAACACGCTTGCGTGAATGTCTGGGGACCCCGCGGCCCAGCAGACACACAAAATCAGCTGTCCCAGGGATGTCCCCTCGGCCGCCCCCCGCCGAGGCCGGACACTCATTTCGCGATGGGCCGCCTGGACGTGCACGTCCTTCTTTCCCGCTTGGGCCCCTCGTCCGGCCCCTGCTTGGGGAGATCCCTCCCTCCCGCCCCCAGGGCCCAGTGCTGATGGGCTTCTGAAAGTCTGACGACGGTGTGTCCCCCGCCCACCCCACGAGCCCCCGACGGGTGTGACACCCCTCGTGTTGGCCCCGGACCCCGGGCTGGGCCCCCCTCGGGCGGCTCACCTGTGTGCTGGGTTCCCCGGGAGGCTCCTGTTGTCTCAGGAATGACCATCGTAGAGAAATGTAATAAGCAACCTCACTCATGAAAACTTGGAGGCACGAAAGTTCAGGGACTAATTAAAAATAAATCTCATTAGTTTTTTTTTTCCCCTCTCAAATTATGCGAGTGGTTTATTAATCTGGTTTTGATGTGCGGCATGCACCGGTCCGGCCCTGAGTTGAGAACCTCTTTATGAAAGTGGATTTGCACAGGGAAGCCAGAGGTGGTTTTCAAGGGCTCTCGGCTGTGGTCGGGGTGGGCTCGTGGGCACCCCCAGCGCTGCTCACCCCTGCGGGCCGGGCGCCTCCGTGGTGCAGCCACTGGACGGGGTGCCCTGCGGGCTCCGGCTAGCAGGCTTGTTCCCAGGCAGGGCTTCCCTGGCCTGCTAGGACCCGCTGTGTGTCCTGGGGTGCCCCCAAAGGGATGTGTGCCCGCCAGGGGCGGGGGCCGGGAGTCCGCTTGCCTCTTGACCGAGGCTGTGTCTACACGGCCTGCTAGCCGCTGGCTGGCGGCGGAAAAATGCAGCCAGGAGGGACAGGGTGGTAAGAACGGTGATAGGAACGGTGTCACCGCGGGCTGGGCAGTGCCGAGCCCCCCCCCATGACCCTTCCCTCATGAACCCTCGGGGTCCCACCCAGAGACGTGAAGGTCCCACTCCCAGTTGCCCAGCACCGACCGCAGGGCGCACCCCAGACCCATCTCTTGACCACTGCGCTATCTTAATATTTTTATTTTCTCTGGGTGGATGTTTTCGGCCTGTTTTAGGGGAATTAATCCAGCATGTCTCTGACAGCGTGTGTCCACACCATCACCCGCGGGAGGAAGGGAAGTGACTTGCACCCACCCGGTGTGTTGACGCAGCC